ATATATATGTATTAAAATAATGTAAACATTTCAAAGCGAATAGTAATAAAAAAAATAAATAAAAAAACATAGAACTGTTTTGATGACGACAAAAAGTACACTTCACGTAAGCAAATTGTCTTTGTTTATATTATTTTGTTGTTCTTACTAAATAATATTAAGAATTTGTTTACACGCGCATTAATTGCTGCTGAAATAGGCGTGGCAAATGACATTTTACAACAAGCAGCGCAGCAGCAGCAGCTGTTAACTGATTGCATATAATTGCATTTTATTGTCGTTGTTGCTGTTGTTGTTAGCTTGGTTTAATTGTTAAGCACTTAACAAAGGTTATTCTTTATAGTATGCACACACACACACTATATATATATATATATATATATATATATATATATGCATAACCTATATAATATGCATTTGAACCAGGCTCAACTTTCTTATTTTACAATTGAAAACCTTCAGGGCATAAGGTTAAGTATTTCTTTACAAATGTGTTTTTGTTTTACTGCAGCAAAAACCCCGCCAATGTCGACAATAAAAAACAAACAGACGAACAGAAATTAAATAAAGAGAAATACTTTGACGAGCTGCTCTTAGCTTGCGCTCTTTAAAAGCTCTGCAGCTGAGCTTTGTGCATGCAAAAGCTTTATTGCAAACTTTTCAATGCTCTGAATGATCGAATGAACTTTGAAAGCAATGAAAAAAACAGTATGTCATCGTTAAGGTGATTCAGATTTCGTTGACTAGGTCAATATTTGGTACGAATTTGTGGAACCGTTAACGGTGAAATTTAATTTAACAGTGATTTATCATTTAAGTTGCTTGCAGGCAAGCAGAAAATTGATCTCTGCATTGTTGGGTAGCTACTCAAACGTTTATACATATAAGCTTTGAAGGTAAATATATATAAACTGTATGAAACATGGTAGGAAAGAGAAGTGTTGAAGCTGTGCGCCATTTAAATACCCTGCATGAGTGTCAAAAATAGTGTGATAGGTGTTATAGTTGTTTTGTAACAGAGAGAGAGAAAGAGAGAAGAAATTACAAGCTGTTGTAGATAGGTATATGTGAACAGAATAGAAAGTAATTCCAATACAAATATATTTAGTATATATTTACTATATGATACACATACATATAACATATTACAAGTGTGAAAATACAAAATTATTTGTATATTATATTTTTAACGAGAACATTTCTAACATTAACAGTGTGGCAGGAAATATTCTCTTCCTTGATATTGAAATCGGTACTTTAAAGCTTTTTACAGTTAATGATCCCCAAATATTTAGGTCTTTTAATGTTGACTGACGGTGTTTCCAATTCCATAATATCTTTAAATAATTATAAACTTTTTTTAAATAAATTTAATTATCTTTCATATTGCCAAAGTTTTTTCAAGATCATAAAGTCAAGTAAATAATTTAAATGCAATTTGAATATATAAAAATGAACTATGAAACTCAGTTAATGTGGGAACACACATTTTTTTCTGTGTCGGCAACTAATAAAACTGTTTTATTTTGTTTCGTTTTTTTTTGCCCTTTAACAAACTCAACGAAAAAAAAGTAATATGCTTTCATCTGGCGCGCCATAGATTCAAATTGGTTTGCAGCTTGTTGAAGTGTTGTTGTTGTTTGCTTAAATTACCTGCTCCGTGCGCAAAGTTCAGCGAGGTGAAACGGTTAAATGTTTTCAAAAACTTGCCCCCAAGTCGAACACATACACAAATGACTATATATATATAGTTGTGTGTATATATTCATCTTTTTGTGCTCCACATTATGAGCCTTTATAGCTCTGCCTATACAGGGTGCTTTAGCTGCACTGAAATATCGGTTCAATGCACTTTGCCTACGATAAACTACAAATTAAGTATGCGTTTCTCTTATAGTCACGTTGTTGCCGTCTTTTTTGTTTCTGCTCAACTCTGCTGTCAGCGAATATGAATAATGCCATACAAAAAATAAAATGAAATAAAACGTGATATAAAATGAACTGAAAACAAATATGAAAAAAAAAAACATATTTATACAATATATATAAATAATAATAAATGTGCTCGGGGAGCAACGCACCAAAATAATATCAAGAAAATACATAAAGACACACGTATATGGCACACAGTTTTGGCCGTCTAGTCAAAAAACTGAATCACACGCCAAAAGCTAAGGGTAAACAATAATTATATTTATTTATAATATATATTTGTGTGGATGATCATAAAATATATATAGACAGCATAGACAACATCTGACAAATTGTTAATTGATCTAAAGGGCATGTTGTTTTTGTGCTAATATATGTAACCGACATTATAGGTATGTATGTATGTATGTGTGTCTGTACTACATAATATATATATAGATTCTTAGTCAATTCAGCCATTTTAAGACATTAAATAATCTAACTCCTCAATGCACTCAATGCACTCAATGCTTGCTAATTGAGTGCAAAAACCTGCTCAAAAAAAATTCTCTAAATCTCTCTGCTCCTATGTTGAGTGACCTTTCTTCAGCTATAAAAGGCGCGTCGGCTGCTGCGTCTAATCAGTCACGTACCTGACCTGGACCGGGTCAGTTTCAGTTTAGTGAAGTGCAGTGCAGTGCAGTGTAATGTAGTCTAGTTAGTTAATATATTTAAGTTTTCTTTTGTTAATAATAATAAATGCCTTTGTTTAGTATTATATTATAATTAATTTTCTTTTTGTTAAATAAATGATTTTGAATAATGTCATATTGTATAAGAAAAAAATTGTTTAATAAAATAATATTGTATAATAAAAATAATATTGTTTAAATAAAATGTTTGTTTAGCAACTATTTATGTTTCTGCTTAAGAATAAATTATGAATTGTCAACCTTACGAGACTTAAATATTAAGGGATCATTAACTGTAAAAAGCATACAACTCTCGATTTCAATATTGAGGAAATTTTCTCTGCTGTATGAATGCTAAAAGCTGTCATAAAAGGAAATAACATTTGCAGAAAATCTTCAGCATTACAGCAGCTTAACAGATCATACAATTATAATCTACAAAAGAACAAGGAACATTTTTGCCTTTTGCTGCTCAGCTGTTAATTTCTTACTAAAAAATTTAACATAACTCAAGATACTCTTAACTATTAGATCTCATTGCTCTTGATGTTCATTAAGTTATCAGCGTGCCATATGCAAATTTAAGTTGTACTGTTGTTTTTCTGTTTTATGGCAAATTGACTGCTTATGGCTGACAAAGCGCAGCCGCCATTAAAGAGAAAGAGAGTATGGCGTTCGAGGGTGAGGGAGATAGGCTGAATTGGCTTTCGTTCTGGTGGTAACAATTGTTTGCATTTAATGCCTAGGGGCGTGCGTATACCGGTTCATAATATGGACTCTCTATAGCAATGTCACGCAAACAATTTACATAAATGACGTCGCTTCCGCTTGGAACAAACGAGCAGCGCAGCCAACAAGAACAGCAACAACAAAAAGTATGGCCAGTAAATGAATGATGGCTGGCAAAAAAAAATAAAATAAAAGAAGAGAAAGAACTTAATAGACACGAGAATGAGAGAAAAAGTGTAGCAAAAAGTCAATTGTTCCGTCTGTCCGTTGGTCTGATTGAATTGTTCAGTGCGGAAGCGTGAAAGCAATCGATAAAAAATAATTTACAAAGCGCCTGCTGCCAACTACAACTAACGGCAAATAATCGTCTGGCAGATAACAGCAGATAGAGAGAGAGAGAAAGAGAGCGAGATAGAAAGAGTTTTAAATGGCGAAGCGACGTAAAAGAAAAACAAAAATGAATGCATCTAAAAATCATATCTTCTGGCCAAAACAGCAAAACCCACTAACCAACTTCACGGTTTGTTGGAAATTTAATTTGCCTACAAATGGGTTTTTTTGTATCTTTTTTTTTTGGAGATTTCTTTGTGCCACCTGCGTCGAGTGTTCATTGCCTTTGGGGCACGCCCTCTCAAAGTTGAGAATTTGTTGGAGCAAAGAAAACGAAAATTGTAAGGGGCACGTGTTGGCAACACAAATTAAAAAACGTTAACACACTTAACGCTTTTTGGTCAGGCCATACCAACTCCTCTAGCCGAACGAAATTATTTTTAATGTTTGTGTAAGCTGTTATTAAACAATATTCGGTTGTACAATTTTGCTTCAATAATAAAATCAATAAGTGCAACCCTTGAAAAGAAAACTACCCGGCTAAAATCGGACATAACCTCAAATGTCTGAGATTGCATGACTCAAATCATTTGAGGTAGGAAATGGCCGAAAAGGAAAGACAAAAAAGAAATACATGTCTGAGGTCATAAACATAACTGTCAATGTTGCTATGGTGCTTTTGGTTATTTGGGGGTTGGTTACGGAAAATCGTTATTTGCACATTATCTTAAATATATCCAAATATTAATGCATATATTTTCCTTTATGACATAAGCTTTGTAGTCTGCGTGAGTGTGTTTGTGAGTGTGTGGTTGACAATAGACGAGAACATTTGCGGTTAATTATTTATCTACTTTAGTGCATTATGTATACACTGGTTCCGCCCAGCTGCACAGCTGCATGTGAATCGAGACCAACTGCAACAATTTGTTATTTATCGATTGCCAATTTGTTATATCTGTTATCATGAAAGTGGCTTACTTGTATCTCTTTCGCACACACGCACATCTCTACGCTTTGGCAGTGGTTCTTCACTCTCATTTTTCTTTTCACTGAATTAATCAACAATAGAGCTTTAGCATCTATATATACATATATATATATTTTAGTATAATATTAGTAGTTTACAATTACATGTTGTTTGTTTGTTATTTGTATGGGAGGGGACAGACAAAAGGCTGAAGATGTGCCACCACCTTTCACTTTATTTATACATAAAAAATTTTTGGTTGAATGAATTAATATCTATTGTGATGGGATGCTGTATCTGCGAGCATTCGAACAATCAATACATAGCAAACAGAGTAGACAGAAAGTAGAAAACCCTTTTGTACGCACCTGTCGTCGATTCTGCTTGTGATTACTCCAGGCTGCACTTGCCTGCACTTTGGGCACAGAAAAGCACCGTAATGAGCAAGGAAAGCGGACATACGAGACCAGGTTGTTGTTGGTGTTGTTGTTATTGCTTTTCTTCACACATATAGGCACAGGCACTCACACTTGCGCACACACATATAAAATTTCTTTCTTTCACCCGTTTTTAACTGGTTTTTATATCTTTTACTACACCACCCCGTTGATCGTCCGTCCAACACATACATGCACTAAAACAACTTTTAATTAAATTAGCACGATTTATGTGTAGAAGACAAATTAACAATTTCGGCTACTACTGGCGCATTAACTATTAATTCTACTGCTCTTAGCAGCTCATTTTTCACAACTGTATGACCAGCTCGCACACTCACACATGCAAAGAGTGTCGCCGTCGACTAGTCTGTTGTATTTGTTCTAGAGATGTCAGTGATATTAGAAAACATCGATGCAACGATAACAGTTATCGATTTATAATTCTGATTTCTATCTGAACTATATCGATATTAGTGGCTAGATGTTTAATATATATACATATAATTTGGTATTTTTTCCAGCTTTAGTTAATAAACTTTAATTATGTAATATAACAATTTGTTTATGTTGGAATAATGGAAATTTTCGATAGATGTTTGCTATCTGTAAACAAGTGTTTGAAAGTGATAAAAACTATCGTACGAATAGTTGCGATCGGTTCCTATATCGATGTTGTATTTGAAAAATTACCGCCAATTTAATATTTTATTGAAATAAAAATGATATCAAACATTTATTTAATATAATTTTTATTTAAAAATATACATATTAGTTATAGTTTTTTTCTAAACGCTGGGCATTTCTGGCGTTTTAAAGAGCAGCAAAGCGGCTACACATATGAATTAACAATATAGAACAGAGCAAAGATATATAAAAGAGGAGAATAACATAAAAATTGGATAAAAAATAAGTGTTTAAGACAAATCAGTGTTGATATCAGTATTTTGTTATCTGTGTGTATGTGTGCGCTATCACGTATAATGAAAAAGGGGGAAAATATGCAAAAAGCCAAGCACACAGAACTTAAAGGTCACTGGAATTATGATTTGTGTAATTTATGGCGCTCTGGATACCGTAGCTGGATCATTATCATGATTCAAACGACCACCCATTGTAATACCGTGGTCATCGGCCAATTCATCATCGTCATGATCGGGATTTTGCAATTGTTTCTGTCGTTTTAGCCGCAGTTCAAATACCTCACTGATGGCATCGCGAAAGCATATAAAATTATAGTCAATGACGCCCTGCCGGTTAAAGTTCTCCTCGCGTAAAATGCAGACCAGAGCCAAAAACTTGTTGACCTCACGCATATAGAGTATCGTATTGTTATTCAGTTTAATGAGACTAGAACTGCCGCTGTCAAAGGCCGTTTCCTCGGAGCTGTGGAAGAGGTGATGAGGCGCATTATATTTTATACTTTAAACATTATACTCTACCTGTAGATACTAGACAGATCAATGACCATATCAATCATGTCACAGCATAGCTCGTAGGCTTGCATATCCACAGGGGAAGAATCAGTAGCAATATAAATTTTCGATACAACATCAAAGAGAAATGCCTTCTCTATGCCAGAATTCTGTAGGGCATCAACGATAATATTATTATCATTATTTCGATAAGCGCTTACAAATTTAACTTACTGGTATGAATATGTTCAATAGATTCTCTAGCGTGGGCAGCTGTGGTATTAGCTTTTGCACCACCTTCGAGAATGCCTCGAATATTGAATGATCGTAGATCGAGGTTAAGTGAAAACTTAGATGTATTTGATCCAGACCTGCTTCGCTGAGGTCATCTGATGAGCGTTGGTGTATATCACGTTGTGATTCCATTTTCGAGTCATCGCTGATGCCATCAACCTATGAGAAAATCAACACGTGCAGGAACAAAATATGCTGATAAGAGATTTTCTGATTTACCTTATGTATGAAAACTTCAAATTTGATATGAGGATTCACTTTGTACGCTTCGATAACCGTGTCCTTGAATTTTCTTAACGCTTCGATGTAATCATCCTTGGCATCAATCACAAACACGAGGGCCCCACAGCCACGAAATATCATGTCTGAATCGAATGGCGGCTTTATGAAATCAATTTGCCCCGGAAAATCCCATATTTGAAATTGTACAAAACTGGAATTATTGATATCGTCTTTAACAATTTTACTCGTTGATTCAAGGAAGACCGTTTCATTCGGTGACATCTTATGGAAGACGACTTTCTGTATGGAACTTTTGCCCGATCTCCGCAGACCCATCAACAAAATACGAGGTTTTGTCTCACTGTTGCTAGATGCATTGGGCTCCAGATCCAGACCATCTTGATCATAGGCGCCATAGCCAAAATCTTTTGGGAATGGATCCTCTGGATAGTCTTCATGTTCGTAGCTCTATGAAGGATATTAAAGATTAGATCAAAGTAGACATTTTTGATGGGCGATTTAAGCTGTTGGATTATAATGCTATAAAAATATTTTAGTTGATCTGCCATTTTTTGCCTTGTAAACGTTTAAGCATCATTTCTTTTCCAATTTACAGCTCGACTCTGATTTGCTATGGCTTCTTTGTTTATTTACCATGGTGACGTAAGCGTGCGTTGCTTGTGCACAGCTATTGTACTTATCATGCAGTTAGGTTTACGCGCGCTATATAATTACTATAAAATGGTGTATATAATGTATTAAATTTAAAATTATTTAAATTTCAGATCACACAACACAAAAACTGTTTCTTATCGGAGACAAGGTGTGTACACAACAGCTGCCACAAACAGCTGATTAACAGTTACATCAAGTGTGTGCACACCTGCTGCGCATTAAGTTAAAATACTAAAACAGTCACAATTGTGAGTTTTTTATTGGTATTTTATGTGAATTAAATTTACTTATCTAGAGCTGGTCACACTTACTTCATAATTTACTTGTTTTTTTGAGAAACGTGAATTTACGTTGTTTTTATTATTAAATATTTAAGCAAAATGTCAGCACGAGGATTAGTACTATTGGGCCAATGCATGCCCTGCATTAAACAAAATGCTTCCAAAATACGTATTCGTCGAATGGAGCTGGATAAAAATCTAAATATGGTTTGCAGACTTTTTGTTAAGCGGCATGTGGAAATTTTATTTAAATATTGCTAATTGCAGTACTTTAAAAAGGATACATTCTTCTTTGCCCACGATCCACAAAAGGTGTGCAAGACAGGCGATATTGTATTAATAAGAGAGCTGCCCGAACGCCTGACACGATTAATAACCCACAAGGTGGAAAAAGTGGTTTATCCCCTGGGTGACATAACCGATCCAATTAGCGGTAAAAAAGTCGTTGTCGGAAAATACCGTGAGGACATCGAAATGGCAAATCAGCTGTTTGGCAAATCAGAAAAGGCATTCGATTACGATAAGGCACCGGCGCGTGGTCGCCTGGAAGGCACCAAGGACTTTACCCATGGCGAAACCTACATCAAATACCACGAGGATGGCAAAGATCAGCCCTTCGCCGTGTAGCCCCATAGTACCAACTTGCTCTAAGTAGGCCCTTAAGTAGTTAAAGAAAGCAGTCGAAATTACATTTTACTAAATATTTTTATTTAAAATGTCGATAAAAGTTTTGAATGCATTTTTGTATGTTTTTTTTTGTAGTTTTTTTGTTGTCAAATTTGTTATTGCTGCCCACATTCAACTGCGATCAGTTGCCGCTGAGCCAGGAATTAAATCTTTATTTTTTGTTGTTTTTCTTTTCGTTTTCATTTTTGATCCAATCCGTGCCATAAATTAAATTGTTTGTTAACTAATCACAATTTCTTACGATGCTAAAGTTGTACTGCAGTATAGGGTTTGCCACATGGGCGTTGTCATCGCATAGTTTTTGCTATAATTCAAATGTAATTAGACTCTGTTGTTATATCCTATATAATTGGCTTACTTGTTCCAGGTCTGTACTGGCGCGCAGCATAAACTCGCGCAGAAAGTAGCCACGATTGGGCATATCAAGCGCTAGAATGAGTTTATTATTACCCAGCTGCTTGAGTACCTTTACCCAGTTGCTGCTGCTGCTGCTGCTTGGTAGCGCCTCCTCATCCTCGTTTAGCTGTGCACCTACATTGGCCTTGGACTGCTCATCATCGCTGCAAATAGACCACTGCATGGGCTTGCTGGAACTGTTAAGGATAACAAATTATACAAGCTGCTAAGAGATTTGTGTCCCTAACCCAACCTGAAATGCAGCTCTAAGCTGGCAGCTTGTAAAAACTTAGACACAGGCACCGTATAGGTGATATTCAATGAGCTTCCGGAGCTGGGACAAAACTGAGCCACATCAATTGTGTGATTGTTTAGCCCCGCCAGCACGCAGCTGGTAATGCTCCAGCAATCTAAGGGATGTGGCACAGCCGTGGCTGTAGCCAGTGGTGCTGCCTCTACATGTTCGGCTGCTGCAGCAGGTGCGGCATTTAGCACAGTGTATATAGCATCCTCGCCAGCAGAAACGCCTGTTTCGCTAGCTAATTGCTTGGATCGTGCAGCTGTGCTGTGCGAGTTTTTGCCATGGTAGGCGTTGGTCTCATTTCCAGCTACTGGCTGTATGATCAATATATCCGGCTCCTCCTCTTCCTGGTCCTGCTCTGCGGATTGTAGATCTTCCTCCACATGTTGTTTCTTGACATTCGCGTCCACATTATCCGCAGCAGCTGCAGCCGGTTGCTGTGACTCAAAGCAGTTGGACTGAAGGCACACGCAATGATTAGAATGGTATATCGGAAATACGAGGGGAAACTACTGTACCCACCTGACAGTTAGCGCTGTTTGCCTCCTCGCCACTGCATTCCTTTGGCTGGCCAAACAGCGGCGTCTTTAGGCTCTTGTGTCTAATCCAGTCCAGACTACGTTGGTTAGCCGACCGTCGACCCACTGCGGAATCCCGTAAACCCGCATCCGTGTACTCAAAGCCAAAGAGTGCTGTTATGGGATTATCCACAGCTTCCGATTCATTTGTATTGCTCAGATTTTGCAGATCGAGTGCATCAGCACTCTCCTTGTTCCCGCTGCTGTTGCGCACAGCTGCTGGCGGCGGCACATCTAAGGCAAGGGATAGCGTGCTCTGGACGTGACTCTGCTCTGTGCTCACCTTGTTGGTAGTTAGAGCCAAGTTGGCTGTTGGTGGCGAAACGGTTTTGTATACATTATAAATGGCGGCATCGCCTGCATTCAGCTTTCTTATAGCCTGGCCGGCATCGGAGGACGAGAAATTATCTACAGCTGTGCTGGCAACGGTGTTCACAACGATAATGCGCTCGTCCAGCTTGGAGGAGGGCTTTAAAGGCGGCTGCTGTTGCTGTTGCTGCGGCTGTTGTTGCTGCTGCA